TGGTGTAAATAGAAATGATATTTCTAATTAACTTATAATCCTCACCTCTGCAAATAAGGATCGCGTGTACTATTAAGTACATCAGATTTAATATATTGTAGACTGTGCCACTCTTTGAATTTAAAATGTTGCATGCAGTTTATGACAACATTTGATATCACGTGACTAACATTGTAACTAGCATTGTCTAAGAACTATTCACACACCCCTCCTCCAGTATGGTGCCGTAGGCGAATCACATTATGTATTAGAACTGACCAGTGGAGTAGACGGCTAAGGTGATGTATTAGAACTGACCAGTGGCGTAGACTGCTAACGTGATGTATTAGAACTGACCACTGGAGTAGACGGCTAAGGTGATGCATTAGGACTGACCAGTGGAGTAGACGGCTAACGTGATCAATTAGAACTGACCAGTGGAGTAGACGGCTAACGTGATCAATTAGAACTGACCAGTGGAGTAGACGGCTAACGTGATCAATTAGAACTGACCAGTAGAGTAGGCGGCTAACGTGATGTATTAGAACTGACCAGTGAAGTAGACGGCTAAGGTGATGTATTAGAACTGACCAGTGGAGTAGGCGGCTAAGGTGATGTATTAGAACTGACCAGTGGCGTAGACTGCTAACGTGATGTATTAGAACTGACCATTGGAGTAGACGGCTAAGGTGATGCATTAGGACTGACCAGTGGAGTAGACGGCTAACGTGATCAATTAGAACTGACCAGTGGAGTAGACGGCTAACGTGATCAAGTAGAACTGACCAGTGGAGTAGACGGCTAACGTGATCAATTAGAACTGACCAGTGGAGTAGGCGGCTAAGGTGATGTATTAGAACTGACCAGTGGAGTAGACGGCTAAGGTGATGTCTTAGAACTGACCAGTAGAGTTGGCGGCTAACGTGATCAAGTAGAACTGACCAGTGGAGTAGACGGCTAACGTGATCAATTAGAACTGACCAGTGGAGTAGACGGCTAACGTGATCAATTAGAACTGACCAGTGGAGTAGACGGCTAAGGTGATGTCTTAGAACTGACCAGTAGAGTAGGCGGCTAAGGTGATGTCTTAGAACTGACCAGTAGAGTAGGCGGCTAACGTGATGTATTAGAACTGACCAGTAGAGTAGACGGCTAAGGTGATGTATTAGAACTGACCAGTGAAGTAGACGGCTAAGGTGATGTATTAGAACTGACCAGTGAAGTAGACGGCTAAGGTGATGTATTAGAACTGACCAGTAGAGTAGACGGCTAAGGTGATGTATTAGAACTGACCAGTGGAGTAGACGGCTAAGGTGATGTATTAGAACTGACCAGTGGAGTAGACGGCTAAGGTGATGTATTAGAACTGACCAGTGGAGTAGACGGCTAACGTGATGTATTAGAACTGACCAGTGGAGTAGACGGCTAAGGTGATGTATTAGAACTGACCAGTGGAGTAGACGGCTAACGTGATGTATTAGAACTGACCAGTGGAGTAGACGGCTAAGGTGATGTATTAGAACTGACCAGAGGAGTTGGCGGCTAACGTGATGTATATGAACTAACCAGTGGAGTTGGCGGCTAACGTGATGTATTAGAACTGACCAGTGGAGTAGGCGGCTAAGGTGATGTATTACAACTGACCAGTGGCGTAGACTGCTAACGTGATGTATTAGAACTGACCAGTGGAGTAGGCGGCTAACTTGATCAATTAGAACTGACCAGTGGAGTAGGCGGCTAACGTGATGTATTAAAACTGACCAGTGGAGTAGGCGGTTAACATTGTGTTTGATTTTACCAACTTTCTTAGTATGATATCCATTACCACGTTAATACCGAAGTCAGCCTTCGGCATACCAACATGAACCATCAAGTTTGTCATTAATCAAATGATAGATCTTAAGAATGCTCCCTAGATTAATGTGTTCACAGACCTGACCGGACCGATATTTAAAAGGACTTGTATTTGATTGACTTTCTGTTGTTCAATTTGAAAGATAAACTTTCTTTATTGATTTCAGTAGGCGATAGCACACGTCCAGATTGCACGGATACTGTCAACAACATAAACACCAGTGATTACTATACACATAACGTCTTTTCTTTTTCATAAACGCAAGAGTTCCAAATAACATTTATTTAGGGGTTTCTAAAGATGTGAATTTTTTCGACTGATCAGCAGATGCACGAATTAACCAACAGTAATATTTTGTCTTCTTAGTGCATTTTACCGCTCATCTCGATTCAAAACTAGATATTTTTTACATGAAATACTATGATTTAATATAATCCGTATTAATAGTAAATCCATGTTTGGATATAGTAACCTAAAGCATGTGTTCTGTATACAGTTTTATAAAGTTTATAAAGTGTTACCAAATTGGCTTTATTTCTTACAAATAAACTTTCATCTTGTATTTCATAAATTAAATCTTGGTGTAAATTGTCTCTCATTTCTACCTGTGCAATACTGGTCTGTCCAGGGCAATACTCACAGACTCGATTTTCAAAATCTTAGAATGAGGAAATGAGAGTTAATGCCTTTATTTATGTTGGAGTGAAGAAGGGGCTATTTCCCACTCATGGTCACAAAATCTGTTAATACCATCTGCAAAGCCTCCGGTTTTACATAATCTTGTGAAGTCTTGAGTGGAATATGCCTATCCCACATTCAACACGTGAACGAGTCTTATAATGTGTATCCGAATCTATTTATCATTTGTTAGAAGAAAATTACAATATAATTCACCTTACATTGCCCACCATGTTTAGAATGGAAAATCACATGCCCACCTACTCCCGATGGCTAATTTGTCATTTTACGGAAAGGAAATCAAAATTTATTTATATATTCTGTATGCAGTATATGGTACAATACAACAATCCTCCCCGTTTAGCCTCCTTTATAGTGTTTAAGAAATTTTGCAACGGCAAAATATTGCAATTTGTAATAGTCAATACGGATCACGTGTAATATATAAGGGATACGATTATCGTTACTGCCACTATGGATCACGTGTAACAGATAAGGGATACGATTATCACTACTGCCAATACGGATCACGTGTAACAGATAAGGGATACGATTATCACTACTGCCAATACGGATCACGTGTAACAGATAAGGGATACGATTATCGTTACGATTATGTTACTGCCAATACGGATCACGTGTAACAGATAAGGGATACGATTATCACTACTGCCAATACGGATCACGTGTAACAGATAAGGGATACGATTATCGTTACTGCCAATACGGATCACGTGTAACAGATAAGGGATACGATTATCACTACTGCCAATACGGATCACGTGTAACAGATAAGGGATACGATTATCACTACTGCCAATATGGATCACGTGATATAGATAAGGGATACGATTATCGTTACTGCCAATATGGGTCACGTGATATAGATAAGGGATACGATTATCGTTACTGCCAATACGGATCACGTGATATAGATAAGGGATACGATTATCGTTACTGCCAATATGGATCACGTGATATAGATAAGGGATACGATGATTGTTGCTATTAATACAGTGTTCTATTGAGTTTTAATGGGTTCTTCATAATTTCTCTATTATTTGTGACAAGGCCAAGAGCTCATTTATGGTTAAAAACACTCTCCTTCTATAAGTCAAACCTATAGAATATCCATTATTATCAATTAATAATGTCTTTATCTGAGTTTTAACTCTCACATCAACAAGTGGGCGTTAGTCATTTCATATCCATTGATAAGATGTGATTTTTGACGTGTATTGAGATCGACTTTTTTTTTTTAAACCCTGGACCTTCCCAATTTTATATCACGCTATTTTAATTACCCGCCGATATTTGTACAAGTGTTACGCATTTGTATACATGCAAAAACCTTTAGTATACATGCTATAATGGGTGTTAACACCTTCACACCATCCGTCAACCATGCCGTTTTCAGATCACACAGGCGTTCCCCCAAACAACTAGTTATGAATACCCATGATAATTATTTCCAGTCAAAGGAACATTCTGTTCACCTGCGGGCGGCATTAAAAATTTCCTGTCAGGTATTTGATCGAATGTTTGGTTATCTCGAAACTTTCCTTAAATCAGGCATAGACAAAACAACGTACGGTATACTATCAACAATAGCATGTTTTGATATAATTTATGTCAAAGTTTGTATTATTTTCTATTATCAATTTGAATATTCATTACAAGATGATATGGAAGAAAATTACAATAATTCCACCCCTCCCCCGAAGGATAACCATACTTTCTATTATTTGATATGTAAAACGGTATTAATATATCACATCTAACACATGTGGTCAAAAGATGTTGAATATATATAAATGCCATTTATTAAAACCTGACATGGGGGCATGGAGGGGATAATGCAAATTCAACGAATTGATTTCATTCAAACAAACTTTAATCCGTGTTTCTCAAACCTGAAATTCCTAATCAAATCCTAATCCTAAAAACCTAATCAACATATGTTTTTTTTTCTAAATTGATATTAACATGTCATGTTTTTCAAATACAGTGTAAGAAAAATAAAACGAGTTTCGAATTTTTATGTACATATACACACTTGGATGCCTGGGTTGATTGATATGCCATAACTTCTTTCTCAAAAATGTAAAATTCAAATTTATGTTGATAAAGTAAACACTAAAACAGGATAGTATCGTGAAAACATAAAGGATAATTCTGACGCCACCAATCATCAGAACATTTGGTAAGTTTAAACTATGTACCGTTCTCAAAACGGGAAAGCGTGGACTAAGAAATGGTATGAGGGGTTGTAAAAACACATGCATCAAACAAAATGGATATAACATCACACGAAAGGAAAAATATTCTAATTTTGAACGACATTATGATGTGATCATGAAATTTCCACATATTAATCACAAACCCTGTATAGCTAGAAATATACTGTGTTGAAAGGTTTTCACCCTAGCGGTCATAGATATTACACATTTCATTTACCAAAATACATCAAAGGTTTGAAAAATGGACAATGAATAACAAGCAGCGTGGAGGTGTCGCTAGATGTCTGAAGTGTGGAAACCTAGAAGTCGCGTCAGGTAATGAAATTGCCCTAAACAATATCACATGTCATTAATGAGATTCCCCATAATTCAATAAATATCACATGTCATAAATGATATTCCCCGTAATTTAATAAATGTTACATGTCATTACAGAGATTCCCCATAATTTAATAATTATTACGTCATTACAGAGATTCCCCATAATTTAATAAATGTCACATGTCATTACAGAGATTCCCCATAATTCAATAATTATTACGTCATTACAGAGATTCCCCATAATTCAATAATTATTACGTCATTACAGAGATTCCCCATAATTCAATAATTATTACGTCATTACAGAGATTCCCCATAATTCAATAATTATTACATGTCATTACAGAGATTCCCCATAATTCAAAAAAAATCACATCTAATTACATAGATTACCCATAATTCAATTAATATCACATGTCATTACAGAGATTTCCCATAATTCAATAAATATCACATGTCATTACAGAGATTTCCCATAATTCAATAAATATCACATGTCATTACAGAGATTTCCCATAATTCAATAAATATCACATGTCATTACAGAGATTTCCCATAATTCAATAAATATCACATGTCATTACAGAGATTTCCCATAATTCAATAAATATCACATGTCATTACAGAGATTTCCCATAATTCAATAAATATCACATGTCATTACAGAGATTTCCCATAATTCAATAAATATCACATGTCATTACAGAGATTTCCCATAATTCAATAAATATCACATGTCATTACAGAGATTTCCCATAATTCAATAAATATCACATGTCATTAATGATATTCCCCGTAATTTAATAAATGTTACATGTCATTAATGAGATTCCCCATAATTTAATAAATGTCACATGTCATTAATGAGATTCCCCGTAATTTAATAAATGTCACATGTCATTAATGAGATTCCCCATAATTTAATAAATGTCGTGATTTAATAAATGTTACATATCATTACAGAGATTCCCCATAATTTAATAAATGTTACATGTCATTAATGAGATTCCCCGTAATTCAATAACTGTTGCATGCCATTGTTGAGGTTCTCCATAACTCTTTGTTATATTTCTTAGCTCCAAGATGCAATACCATATTAGATTATTTTAAATTATAAGACCTATTACATGACAAGTCTAATACTTAAATGAAAAGTTTATTTCTTACATCATCCACCAGGTTTCTATGGCGACAACCTTATTGGAAATAAAGGCCAAATCTAGTATTATTTGCTTTTTATTTTAAACACATCACATTTACATATAATGACATGTTATCTCAGCATATCTAACTACTTGTTTTTGTTTGTTTAATAACTTTGTCTTACATACATGTACATACATACATACATACATACATACATACATACATACATACATACATACATACATACATACATACACACACACACACTCACACACGCACACACACACACACACACACACACACATACATACATACACACATACATACATACATACACACACACTCACACACACACACACACACACCCTCACATACACACCACACACACACACCCTCACATACACACACACACATACACACACACACACACACACACACACACACACACACACACACACACACACGCACACACACACACACACACACACATACTACACACACACACACACACACACACACACACACACACACACACAGACACACACACACACACACATACATACATGTTTGTTAAATTCGGTTCACTTACGTACATGCTGGTTGCAAACTTATCTCCGAAACATGTTTTTGGCATGCCGAATTAAAGTTCTAAAACAGGTTATGTATGTCAAACTCGGTCCTGACCTTTCACAACTGTATGTCAGGCTTAGAACTGATATATACTTTAAATAAATCAATCTGCGTTTTTAATGATTTTGTATTAACAGGAGAACGCGAATCTCTAAGTAGAGGTCAATAGAATGTCCGTGGTCAGGAAATATTCAACGTCGAATAGTGGTCAGTAAAGCAATGTTCATTAATAAAGATATTCATTTTGATGAAATGTTCTCTAACTCTTTATACTGATTAAATCGGTACGTCCATTAAGCCATGTGTAATCCTATTTAGTAACAAATGCTTACTAAAACATCGTACTGACCTAAAATGGCCTGGGTTAGAACGGATACCAGGTCAATCAGAATACCTTAATACGGATTTGGGAAATACATATTGTACGTGAAACATCGTATAAAATGTATAACAGAAGGAATATAATCAGTGTACTATTAACATGACCAAGTTTTACAGCTACATTAGTGTGACAGATCCATTTTTTCTGATCTTAAAAGCATCCTTAATATATCCCAAAGACTGCTCACTCTGACACCTCGAGTCACGAACATATAGGTTAGCATAACTTCTTTTCTTACTAATATGTTTCTGTTCAGAACCTTGTTGCCTCGTCATTGCCTTCAGTACTCGTGTCTTGTGACCTGTATATTTTGAAACTGTCTTCTGTCAAATGGTTTAAGAAATTACTCAAACTGATACAAAACAGCGACATGTTACACCTAGTTCTCTGAACAAAGAACTCCGCCATCATCACATTTATGGCGAAGATACTGCTTATCTGTCATCATACTCTACATGACGATTTCATGTTCGTAATTGTTCAGAATTTGTTTTATTTAATGTTCTGAGCAGTTCGTTAACGGTTTCTAACGACGTATCACGTTTGAATGAGGCGGACGTTTTGTACACTGTGATGTTAGGTACTAACTAACGACCTAACAACACAATATACATATTAAAGTCCACGATTATAGATTAAAGTAAGGCGGGATGTTTTGGACTGTTAGTTGATATTATGTGTTATATCTTATCTACACAGCCTCCTTGGTTAAGAGAGAAAGTTGTAGACAGTTACATGAATTTGAATGGTCTCACGATCTATCACCTTGTTTAGTGTATAAAGTGACATTTCATTGTTCCACAGCACTCGAGTCTCAAATCACAGGCACAATAACATAGTAATCATTTTCGCCCATTTTACTGAACAAGTTATGTTTCCTTGGTCATCTCACTCATTGCTGCACCTAAAAATTGGGATTCAACAAATATTTAATATCTCCAGTGCGTCTCAACTAGAATTCGTTACTCCTAGTCGTCGTTACTGTGACAATAGATTAACAAAAAGTCTAAATTACGACAATGTCAGAGGCAGAAATAGTTCGGACAAAGATAAGATAAGATTGTGTTTTGGTTTCCTATTGTGTAGTGTCTAATCATCAGATCTGATCATTAAATGACGGTCTCTCGCTGAAAGACGTCTTCTTGTGATAGTAAGGAAGTGAAGAAAATTTTATAGTGTTATCACACTGAAATATGTAGTATTAACTACTATTATAAAAGACCTGAATTGTCTCGGTCAGGGGACAGAATCTAAAAGCTCCGTAACAGGGGCGAACATTAAACGATAATAAAACGCATGACAACAAAAATGGTTATTTAAAAATAACAGCAGATACAAAGATCCCAAATCTAGTCGATTCGTAAAATTGATGCCATAAGCAGCAGGTACAATTCTTCCACCCCATCTGCACGACAGACAAGAATAACAGTTGTATTTCGTTTTCATATCGGTATTCTTCTTTGTTGATTTAATCGCTTCTTTGGATAGTACAGCGGGAACAGCAGGTGGAATTTGTCAAATAAATGTAAGGACATGTATCGATTACAATATGATATTTCAAGTTAACAGCTAATAATCGATATATTTACTAGTATTCTTTGAAATAATTGAAATCAAAAAACAAAAACAAAAAAAAACTTAGTATCGATATCTTTGAAGAAAAAATAGTTAAAATAAGAGAAAAAAATCTGCAAACGAGAATAGAAACGAATTAAATAATTTTTTTTTTTGCCTTTAGAGAAGATGTTGCTGAAGGTCTAAAACCCCGAAATATCAATAAATCGTCAGAGTGTTTAATTCTCTTACTGATAAATAAAAAGTACCCAGTGAATTGACCTTGAACTGATGTTTTAAGCCTACACTGGTTACTCAACCTCATTTACTCTATAATTTTAGATCAAGATTAAAAATTGATTATTCTAATTTTAAAAAAGGTTGAGTAGCTTTTTTTTTGTTTTACTTTGCATATCGAATTGATTTCAATAGGGAGCCAAGGTGCGTGTTACAAAATCAGCATGCACTACTCGCCATTCTACTTCAGACCCATTTAACAAAGGTGACTCGATGGTTTCATTTTCTAACGAAGGTAGCTTTACACATAACCGTCAATAGCTATATAAATGTGACTATGATTTAGGATATTTGAACTGAATGTGTAAGGTGTGACTAATAAAACAATGTGTGTAGAATATAAAAAGTAAAAAATGAAATTGTGAAAGAAATAGTACATATCAAATAAAAATTGTAGTAGAGAGAACAAGTAAAAGTAGACCGACATATCTGATGTCTGAAGTTAACAATACGTTGTATAATAGTCGACTTTTGGTAAAACAAATCAGTGGCATTATATCCAGGATATATGTGTATCGAAATTGATGTAAAATGTAGCGCTCTTTATTATGTCGTAAGAAAAAACTACAAATTGTATCTTATATAAAAAGATGTAATATCCAGCTTAGTTAATATTACAACCTGTCCAGGCGGATCATTAACTGTGGAGACCATCCCGTGGAGGAAATCACAACGATATGTATACACAGGTACTGTACACAACATACAAGATATTTCATAGACGAGATAAACCGCGGATCAACGAACAGAATCCAAGTAAATACAGCGTATACCTTCATAAAGACATGCCAGTGGAGCCCGTAACTCAGGTTTAAAATCGTGAATTTTAAAGGGACAGGTAAAACGTTTGTCTGGCTTATCAGGGAGAGCTATATACGGTAAGTTATTGAAATTACACTTACAAAAAATCATCACTTTTTGAAAATTTATTTCTGTAATCATGTTTCCGTAAAAAAATTGATGACATATTTGCAAAAAAAAAGAA